GGATAGGGCGCACGGACATAGAAGATGCCGCTTTTCCCACACAAATCTAGACTGAGAACGTGGCGTTCCCGGAGCGAGCGCGCATCAATCTATGGTCCTTACTTGTCCCTGAGTGCGCGCACGGACATCGCTTTCAAGTTGCTTGAAATTGATATACTCGAATCTGAGGTGATATCGCTTGAATTGTCTCGTAGGGGGCGGCAATCCAGGGTAGTTCCATGAGTTCCCCTACTAGTTTATTGAGCAAGCAGCTCGATCCGTAATGCTAACAATGACTTTTAAACAAACAAAATATTTGAATTTTTCTTTGCAACGACAACGACATATGACAAACTATTGAATGCAAAAAGTACGGACGTTTTACGGGCGGGTCATTACAGAATTCAATTGTATGAATGCTTAACCTACAAATCACGGTGCACTAGATTATACGGTGGCCCACATGTGTCATGTCAATTATCACATATGTACTGATACGTAGTTTGTTGCTCCCTTGAAAGTATAGTCAAGGTAGTTCCACTGTTTGACGTTCTACGATATACAAATGAAAAAATACAAAACCACACCGAGTTTACGACTCGGTTAGCCTTGCTCAACTGGTTCGTAACCAGTCTTGTGATTGGTTCTTGACAAATTCTGAACAGGCCACGCCGTGTGCCGTGTGCTTTCTGTGTAACCGTTAATTGTTCGTAAATGGAATAAATTTTTGTAGTTTTCTTGATTTATTCTATTTATATCGGAAAAATAAAAGTAAGTCTTTGGCGAAATTTGAAAAAGCAACTAATATTGTTTAAGCTAGTATTTTTTATAGATTTTAATTTTCATTCTTTTCGTCTGTTTTTTCGAGTTTAAAAATTTGGGCTCCTTGTCTATTTCTTACACTAGATATCAGCCGATACCCCCCCCCCCGGTACATAGATGCTGCGTACAGTTGATTATAGTTCCTGGGCTCCCTGTGGTATTATAACTACTTTCCGTGACATAGTGAGATTCAATTACTAACAAGACAATTCAATATTTTTCAGTTCTAACATGAACGTGCTAACATGGTACGTTCATGGTTCTAACGAATATGGAAAACGTGTTTTCCATTGATGAAGTTGAACAACTAAATTTAAAATAATTGACAACATGTTCATACGTGCATTTATGACATATCTGAGAGCATATGATTGTGTATATTGAACTGAAAATTTAGACAAACTGATATAAAATCTGCCCTCTTTCTGTTGCAGGCGCGAGTAACTAGGTAACCAGGGAACGCGGAAATAACGTATATTTATTTTGATAACATACATGGTGTCGGTACATTTTGTTTTATAATTTCAGAAGGTAATTGAATTAATGTACATTGTTGCATTCTGGTAGTAACATATGTTTACAGTCGACTTAACGATTCTGTGAATAATTAATAACAGTTCCTATTTTTTATGTGATATGTCACAGGCTGGTGGCAAGATCGGTGTATGCTGAAATTGCAAAAGTGAAAACAATGCATTTGTTCTTTGTTACTTCCTTACCATTTGGATGCGAATAGTTCATTCGATAATTCGACAGTATACATTATTTGACAGATCTTCTTAAAAGTCAGTGTTTAAACCCAAAGTAAGAGGGTGTTTTAAATTAGAGTTGTATTGTCGGCAAAACTTAGTGAAAGTCCTTCCAATTTTGACTAGCATCGCTAAAAATCAAGTCAGTTGCGGCGTTCTAGACGGGACCGATCGAAACCTGGCTAAGGTACTATTATTTGTTTCGCTGCAATAAATCCCATGTATTGCTGTCCATATTCTGCTTCGGATTTTCCACTAAGCTAAAAAGTAAGTAATTATTTCTGAAGTTCGCCTGGAAGCAGTGGTAAAATGAGCTAAACAGTCATCAGAGTTGCTTACGCTTTGTACGCTTGAACACGCATGCGCATAGAGTCTGGTTCACAAGGACCGGTCATTCGCAACCGAAGATAAAATAAGAATGGCGTTGTTTTTACTGTTGTTAATATATATATATATATATATAGTGTATGTGTTCCTGTTATTGAAACATTGCGGGAAATTGTGCCACAGCAGATTGAGATCCAGTGTTGATCAGTAAGCCACGTTTGTTATAAGACATTCGCACGCTGGTTAACTAAAATGTAAACACTGACGTCACAGTGCGAAGAGGTGATACGGAAAACAAAAATTTCGCCGACACCACAATCGATGTTTATGTAGTCAAATGTATTTTACACGTCATATCGACCAGAAAACGGCGGGAATACTGCGTTGCTGTTAAAGCGCGGTGGTCGTCGCGCAGCGCGTGAACGAATTTCATGTAAATAAACAATGTATTTTACACGCGTTGTACACGTCGCTATGAGTCCCATATCGAACAGGGCGCGTCACGACGACTGCCAGCCTTTAAGTAGGTGTAGACACTTTAGCACTAACAATTATTTACCGACAAATTTAACAGTTTTTGCCGTAC